AGTCTTCACACACATAAACTTATATGGCCCTACTACCAAACTATTACCCCAAAAACAACAACAAAAAAACTCTCACGGTGTTTTATGTTTTATTTATATCTTCTTTTATTATTGCTAATATATCTGCTTTTTTTTAACATTTATGATAATTGGTTTGTTTTAAATCGGTATGCTTAAAAAAATATTTTTCTCGTGAAACATTTATTGAAAACTAAGAATAAACTACGGATAATTTTTTTTGTTTTTTAAAATCATAAGTGTTTAATCATCGTTTTTCTTATTTAGTATTTAACTTCATCAATAATGATAATTTTGAAACACCGAACAGTACTAAAATTTTTAAAGATAAAACAAAAGTAAATATTTTAAATTTTATGAGAATGAAACTTATATTTTATTAGGGAAATGATACTTTAACAACAGGTTTTGACAACATTTTGACACGGGCCAAGTGTCAAAATGTTATTGGTCCACGTNTCATCAATAACACCCTCTCTCAATACCTACAGTGTCCAATGAAACAGAAAAACTACACAAAGGCCTTTGGGAGTTCACCCAAAACACGCTTGGGGAGCGCAATGTCCAGGGCTGGGGAGCACTGATGGAAATTCTGTACAAATCACGTTTTTTTCACTAGTAATCGATTAAGAGCGTGGTGTAATTGATTACACTAGACTATCAGCTATTTGCAATGCCCAAGACCCCCACTGTCATCCTCAACCTACACTTAGGGTGGCTTCTCCCACACATACCTGGGCACATGCACATTTTCAATTTCTTCATCAATAACAATGAAAAATGATAAATCAATTCAATATCATAATCACAATTGCATTAAACAATGTCTTTATTCACATTCAATGAAAGTCTTCTGCTAATCCATACATTTACATATACCAATAATGCATAATCCATAAATTTACATATAAAATTACATAAATCAATCGAGTTTGGGACTATATACTGTGTATGGGGTTCTACAAACTCTACTTTTGTAACGCTTACGACGTCGTCCTTCCTTTATAACACTTTTGTTGTTGTATATTCCTCCTTGGCTTGCAAAGTCATTGAAAGTGTCATGTTGTTCACAAGGCGTATTGTAACCACCATCATGTCTGTACCCACCGTCATCTTCATTCATCTTTGCCACCAACTCAGCCTGCAATTCTCTTAACTCTTCTTCAAGTTCTTCAATTAAAGTGTCTTGATCATCTAAAGCAGCCATAATAGCTTCTCTGTGTTTGCTCCTGTGTTTTCTCTTATTTTGATCGTTCAAATCATCTCCATTTTTATTAACTAATGCCTTCACGATCAACTCACTGATTTCTTTGCTTGATGCACCATAATCATCAACCATCTGAAATTTAAACACAATTAACATTGTACAAAATAAATCACTCGAAACAAATTTAATATGGAGAAGAAGACACATACAACACCCCTGTCCATAGCACTTTTAATGAACTTGTCTCCCACATTTATATTCATCCAATGCAAAAGTCTTGGGTATTTCTCTACACGAACATTTGATGGGATGAAACGATCACAAAACCAAACCTGAAATACATCACACGGTATATAATTAGTCATCCCAATTGATGACCAACAAACAAGTACTTCTACAACAATTACCTACAACACGTAAACACAACCATTCACATACACACTCCTGGCACCTTCTCCTTTCTTCCACGATATAAAAGCTTTGGATAAACCACTGACTAGATATTGGAACACTATACGAGCCCAACAATAAATACCTAAGTCACTTAATCTATCAACAATTTCAAACAAAATAGGGAAGATTGTTCGGCTACGATTAGGAATCAAGAATTCAGAAATTCCAACCAAAATGTACAAGCTACAAAAATGTGTTGAAGACAACTTCTGTTTTTTCATAAGAAAATCATATATCATTTGCAAATCTTGCTTTCCATCACCAAAGAACTTACGAAAAAGACTCTTTCTAAGTTGCTTCTCCTTTAATTTAATATTCTCGCCAACTACACTCAACCCTAAGCTCAAACAAACATCTATGGCCTTCAATTCCACTACTCTTTCACCAAAACGAAAACAACCACTCTCATCAACCCATCTAATCAATAATTCGTTCAAAACATTCCTACTAATTTTAACATTTTCTTTCAATTCTAAAAACCACCAAAATGGTGTATTCGAAATCATAGACTTCTGCTCCACACTCAATACTTCATTCAATGTACCAACAAACTTGCTTTTCATTGAATGACGAACAAATAACTGCAGAAAAATAAATATACTTCTTGTCAATAACCAAACCCAGAATAGGAAAAGTGGAACGCATTCAAGTTATTACCTTGTTTGAAGCACCACCGTCAACGGAGGAATCCATTGCACACAAACCTCAGATATTGATTCCTCAACCGTAGCTCGACCGAAAGCCTCAAATGGAAACAACAACGGCACACTGTGAGTTCACCTACCAAGGAGATGGACAACGTCGACGACAGAGATGATAGAGAAGAAGTCAAAATCATAACCCTAAAATGAACACACCGCTTAACGTACAAGGGTAGTTGCGGAAAAAATACATTTTACAGCATTAGATGTTTTTCTAATTCTTTTGCTTTTAATACAGTGTATTTAAATTTAACCAATACATACATGATAGCTGTCGTTGTCAAAACGTTGTCAACATTTTGTTGTCAATATATCCCGATCCTTTATAAAAGCACTCACTTCTCTTCAAAGTTAAAATAGCATCAAAGAATAAGTTTAGTAACAGTCTTCACACACATAAACTTATATGGCCCTACTACCAAACTATTACCCCAAAAACAACAACAAAAAAACTCTCACGGTGTTTTATGTTTTATTTATATCTTCTTTTATTATTGCTAATATATCTGCTTTTTTTTAACATTTATGATAATTGGTTTGTTTTAAATCGGTATGCTTAAAAAAATATTTTTCTCGTGAAACATTTATTGAAAACTAAGAATAAACTACGGATAATTTTTTTTGTTTTTTAAAATCATAAGTGTTTAATCATCGTTTTTCTTATTTAGTATTTAACTTCATCAATAATGATAATTTTGAAACACCGAACAGTACTAAAATTTTTAAAGATAAAACAAAAGTAAATATTTTAAATTTTATGAGAATGAAACTTATATTTTATTAGGGAAATGATACTTTAACAACAGGTTTTGACAACATTTTGACACGGGCCAAGTGTCAAAATGTTATTGGTCCACGTGGAAAATTAGATTGAAAATTTTAAATGACGTGGAAAGGGAGTGTAGAAGGGCTTTGAAGTTTAGCAGTTTCAATTTAACTTTTCAGAATTTCAAATTGGGTCCTTCTAGAGAGAGAAGAGAAGCTTGAGAGAGAGAGAGTCGAACCCTAGATAGAGAGTTGCGACAGAGAGCCGCTGGAGTGCCGCCGGAGTTTCGACGTTCGGTCGGCTTACGGCTAACGTTAAACGCTATCGTATTTCTTCCATCCAGCCAGTCAGTTCCGATTCAGGGCCGCCGCAGCTCCGACGTTCGTAGACGAAACGAAGACGACATCGTCTTCCCTCCGACCCAGCCAACTAAGGGCGCGTTTTGAGTCTCGATTCCTCCCACCCGCTTCCTTCCCTGTGTCAGACCCTTGCGGTGGCAACCGGAGTGTGGCCGGAGTGTCGCCGGAATGGAGGACGAAAAAGAGGGTTTTTCGGGATTATTAGTCCCACCCACACATTTTTCTTCGTGTGTGTTCCCACCGACAAACGTTGTGTTCATCAAAGGTTGATTTATTTCTATTGAGTGGAATGAATGTATAATAGATGTATGATGTTGTTTATGTATGATGTTGGTTATGTATGATATGGTGTTTGTAAGTTGTAAAAGTATGACATGTTGGATGGCGGTGGAATGTTATTTATGAATGATGTTGGTGGTTTGTTAATAGTATTTGTTGAATAAATAAAATGTGTGGTGATTGATACTATGGATATGAGAACATAAACATTCTTGCTTAGACGATACTGAAAATGTTTATCCCAAGTGCCAAAATTTATGGAATAGAAGACCTCCAAAAATAATGTAATTTCACTTTTTTTTGCTTTACTTGTAATGTAAATATTTGATAAGTTAATAGATGAAATAAATCTAGTGGGATGACTTGGGTTTTTAGAAGGTCCTTTCATATAATTAATGAAATTGTCTGTCTGGTTGTCCATTTCTTGTTTGTTTTATAAATTGACAAATAACTAAAGTCTATTGCATTTTGTAGTGTTATTGTTTTTTATAGATGTTGTTTGGTTAATCATACATTATTTTTGTAATTTTGTTGGATTGGCAGTCATGGATTGCACAAAAGAAGAAGGTTTCAAGAATGTAAGTAGATTTAATATTATGAAAACTTATAACTTTGTTTGAAAAGAGGTTATGATGGTTTTTTTGTTTTAAAATGAATTGTAGTTGCGATTGCGGGCATGGAGCGACACAAAACCGATAGTCGACATTAATTCTATACTACGACAAAGTGATAGGACACGTATCGAGGAGACTCCATTCAAGTGGTGTCTTTATATGAACAACCCAATTGAGTTTTGTAGTCCTTTGTTCAAGGAAATGGTTAGACGTTGGGTTTGTCGCAACGAATGTTTTGTTTTGAAGCAAACAATGGTACCATTTACAGTTGGCGATGTCTGCATGGGTTTAGGATTGGGTGTCGGTGGTTTATATGTAAATTTTGATGATGTTGTTTGTCATCAATTTTCTTCAAAGTCGTTCATTCTAAAAGATGTCATACATAGGATAAAGTTCTTAATACAAAATAATGACATGGATGTTGATTGTGTTTGTCGTTTGTATATTTTAGTTTGTTTTATTGTTTTATACTTTCCTAGACATTCAAAGGAAGTTAGTAACATGCCTTTTACAGTATTAGATAACATCGATAATTTGTACCAATATAATTGGACAAAAGTTGTACACACATTTGTGTTAAATAGTTTAGGAAATGCGTCAAGGATGATAAGGCAACGTGACATAAGGGACTCCCTAGGTCTTAGTGGGAATGTTGCAGTGTTACAGGTAACACATTTAAAATTTGATTACGTTTCATGTGGCTGTAATTTGTTTATTATATGATTATCGTTTTGGTTAATATTTGTTTTTTAGCTTTGGACCGTTGAACGTTTGGGTTTAGCGGATAGTGAACATCACATTGTCTTCCCGAGAATAATAAATTGGCCTTCGCTTAAATTAAGGTCAAACAAAATAGAGGACTTGTTTAAAAGGAAAGAGGTAAGTTAGTTGTTATTTTTATTTACATTTATACGAATGTAATACATGAATTGTGTTTTTTGTTATTTAATGATTAGTTATATTTGGATGTTTATAGATATGTTGGGAATGATTTTTGCGGGAGGAGGACCGTGGGAACCCAATAATTCGTGCGGCCCTTCATTTGGAAGAAGGGCCAATACCGGAAGATGATGGACATGAGTTAGGGTTGAGTTGGGAAGAAGTGGTGATGAAGAAAATTGAAGACAACCGAAGAAAAATGGTTGAAATGAATAAAGAGTTAAGAACTTTGGCCGCAATGGTAGGTGTTGGGAAGGAAGAAACATAACAACCTTCTTTTTTTGAAGAGGGTGATAGATGTGGTGTTGATGTTGATGTTGAACGTGATGATGGTCAAGGTGATGATGGTGAAGGAGATGATGTTGAAGGAGATGATGGTAAAGCAGATGATGGTCATGTTAATGGTGGAGCAAATGAGGAAGCTCAATGTTTTGAAACAGTCATATATACTGATGTGGGTGGTTGTTTGGAGGAAGAGAAGGAGGACGTTGAGGACGTTTTGGATGTTGCACCTCTTGTACGCATTGTGGCACGACATCATGAAATAAATGAGGATGGTCATTTATTGAATGTAAATCGAAAATACTTGTACAACTTGGTTATTCCATTTAAGCTTCCTTGGAGATAATGAATTTGACAATTTTAAAATTTTAAAGATTATTTATTAATAGTGTTATGATGAAAGATGTTGACTTATGTTATTTTATTGTTTGAAGGGTTGTTTCTGAAATTTGCGGTCAAACATTTCACACTCAGGAGTGTTATTCTTTTGGACCTAGGATGCAACTTGGCAACATGGTAATAATGAAATTTGGTGTGTTAATTTATGTTTTAGTTTATATGTTAGTTGTATTGTGTAGTATTAACAAGTTGTTGGTTTTGTAGGGGATTTTGTTTGCCACATCTGTGTTCATGTTCTTTGAAAGAAGGAGTACTGGAGTAGTTAAAAGGATATGTTTTAGTCCATTATATGCGGTTGGTCAAAATAATAGTTATTTTATGCTCTAAATATTGTATTGACATGAGAAATGAAAGTTAACTATGTGATTTGTTTGCAGACCAATGTTTTAATTGACTCAAGAAAGAGAAAGAGTAATCGCAAAGTTTGGTCATTGAATGACTACTCTAACTACTTCCAATCTAATATCATCAGATTTGATGACATTGTCAATGCCGAATTTGTTAGTGCAATTACATTTGATATAATGAATTTGAATAGTTTGTGGATGGTTATTCGGAGTATTTAGTGACCAAATTTTTGTTTTTGTAGTTGTTTGTCACAATTATCCATGACGGTCATTGGTGATTCTACGTTGTGAAGATTCCATTACTGGAAATGTTTACACTGGACTCTTTTGGGCACAAAAGAAAAGAACGACAAAAGATTGACAATGTCATTGTATGTGTAGTAATTGATGTTTACTTTGTAATTATAAATTTATAAGGGGACTATCTTGTTTTTTAGGCACAAAATCTTGCAATGCTTTTTGGACATTTGTTGAATAGTTCCGAACACAACAAACCATCATTGGACGTACAACACTTGCAGACTCCAATCCAACCTAACAAGTATGTTTGTAATGTGTTTTTTTGTAAACACAATATTGTATTGTAGTAGAATTGATATGTTAAATATCATTATTTTGTTGTTGGACTTTATTTGTTGTAGATTTGATTGTGGAGTAATTGTTTTGAAAATTATGGAGTTGTGGATGACATTGAGAAATACCAAGGAAACACAATGCCCACTTACACAACTGTAAGCTGTAAAAATTTATATGTTGTAGATCTTTCATACCAATGTTGCATTTTATTCATATGTCCTGCAATATTGTTTTTGCAGGAAGAACTACAACAAGTTAGGGAGCAATATGTTTGTGAATGGATTTTGGATGTTGACAACGTGCGGAGGAATCAAGTGCCGCAAGATTTGGGCATTTTGTAGAATGTTGGGGATTAGTGATGAAAGAACAGTAGTTGTTATATTTTGATATTTTTTTATTGGTACAACATGACTTTTTGTTTGAAAAATTGTTGACAAATATATTAGGCACTTGAAACTGATTTTGGAGTACATTACTGACTTTCCTGTGCAAAAAGTTGAAGTTAAGTACCCACTTATATCTCCTTTCGTACCATTTATGTTCCTGCATGATGATTGTTACTAAATATGTCTGTTATGGCAAAAACATGTTAATAAATTGATAAATAATTATTTCGAAAATACTTTGAAGTGAAGAAATTAATGAAAAAAGTAATTGAAAAAAAATAAAGACAACAAAAAATGAGTTTGTAGATAACAAAACAAATAATAGTTGAAATATGTAACTAATAATAAATAAATGACAATTCATATAAAACATCTCCAGAATAAAGCAGGATGTTCTTTTATCTATTTTTGGAATTAGGGCAAGGAAGAGGGGGGAAGCTGTGTAACTAGAGTTGTGTAATTCTTATAGCTAAATCAATGCTGCCCCTGCAGCCATTGCTCCAATTGCTCACTACTGTTTTCAATATGTACTTCACTACGACAATGTACTATTCAATGTTCAAAGCATCAAGTTTCTCTGTTTGAATCTTCAAATAGTGGAAGTTTGAAATGCTATCAATAAACTTAAATGAAAAAAAATTAAGAAAAGAGTAAACAAACTTTATAATAGATGTTTGTATTGGTGATCAAAGATCTTACAGTTAGTGGATTGCCTAATGACTTTCCAGTTTGAGGGTCCCAACAAATAAGTTCACCAGCCTTGCTCCCACTTACAAGATACTTTCCATCCAGTGACCATGCAATACAAAGTACCCAGTTCTTGTGTCCTACATAAAATGTAAACAACTATAATGCTATATATGACTCGTTAAAATTGCCGAAACATAATGAAACTATAGAAATTGATATTAATTTAATAAGGAAGGATAAAGAATAGCTCTTTACAGCAGAGTAGACCATTGTAATTATCACAATACTATAATTCACAACCTTCACAGTCCCTATCCTTCCCTCTTATTATTTTCTCATTCCTTTGCAATAACCCCCACCCTCCCACTATTCTTTGCCAGCTTAGAATTCCATCATGATCCAGATTTAATAGCATGAACATTCCCCTTAGCAGTAACACACTGCTTCTGATCGAGAACCTTCAATTAATTCTAACTCCTTTTACCATTTAGTTAAATTGATCATTTTTATTTCCTGTACTTAATTAGCAAATACCAAGAACAACTTAACATTTTTAAATGTCAAACCTTTGCAAGTGTACAATGGTGTCTGAGTGGTCAAGTCCCAAAATCGAACACTAGTATCACTAGAACCACTTGCCAGTTGTCGTCCATCAGGACTGAAGGCAACACTAAGTACAACTTCGGCATGACCTAAAAATATAAACAACCGCAAAAATATGAATTCCAGAAAATTCAAAGAATAATACAAACTTGTGCTACAATCATCAACATCCAAACCCACACTGTTGTCTCTCAAGTTTAGCAAGCACAATACAACATTGTGCCACTACGAATGGGAAAATACACAATAGTCTCACATACCAGAAATAGTTGCAAACAGCGATTCACAGGACGAATCCGGAAAAATAGCTTGAGGTTGACAAAACTATAGGCAAAGCCTTCTCCACCGAGACTGGAATAGTGTTAAAGTAACATTGCAAAGGAAAAGAAAAACATCATTACAAGTGCGTAATTCTTTGTATCAATCTTTAGAAAGATGAGGATTTTTTTTCTCAAAATGTGTTAAACAAGTAAATAAGTGAATTTACAACGAATTAAGAAAGAAAAGAAATAATTTATTGTAAACAAACATGACTAACCTTTGTTTTTCTGCAAGTATGTTTCAAGTGGGCAATGAGCTCCTCATCTGATATATAGAAAGCATACGGCAACTTCTCTTCCTAAAATGAAAGCATAGATAATCGCTCAATGTTATAAATAATAAACAAAATGTAAAATAGAATTTTAGAAGAATAAAGGGACTTGCTTACATTGTTTTGAAGCTTATTAACAATCTGATTGAGGTGTTGAGGGCCAGCATTCTGAGGTAGGTACATGGGAGAGCCCAAGGGAGTTCCATCTGGGTCTGTCAAAAGACACATCACGTTGTTGATTATCTCCCTCTTCTCCACCATAGTCTCTGTCTCTACCTCCATTTTTCAATCAGGGATTTTCCTTCTTTTATGCTTAGATTCTCTTATGGATGATGCTTCTTACTCTTCTACTTGGGGTTCTATTTGGTTTTATCTTCGTTGTCGTGCTGAAACTAATAAAAGTAGTGAAATAAAGTCACACCGGCACAAATCCTAAATTACGCAGGACCCAGGATCCATCATACAGAGACCTCAAACTTCCCATATTTATGTTTTTTTTCTTTGTTAAATATCATCATTTTAAATTTTAAAATTTAGTACATAAGTGAGAAAACTAATCTATTATTTTTACTCAAAATCTAAAACCAAATAACGTGGTCTCTCTTTCTTAATTTCACTGTAAATTGATGCTTAACTATAATATATCTGCAATGCAAAAATTGCTATGACTAGGATCCTCCTACATGACTCACAGACCTTTCTAATTGATAAAAGCACTCACTTCTGTTCAAAGTTAAAATAGCATCAAAGAATAACTCTAGTAACGGTCTTCACACACATAAACATATATGGCCCTACTACCAAACTATTACCCCAAAAACAACAACAACAAAAAAACACATGCAGTGAAAAGACAAATGAGATAAACATGATGAAAGAGCAAGCAGTACACTTTAATAACAAGTCATGGCGTAACCCTTGAGAATTTTGGGGCACACAGTATATATTTGCCTCTACACATACAACAAATTTTGGGGTTTAATTTTGTGAAAGAATTCTTGTAGTTGTCTCTCTGTAACGGAACAATGTTTGTAATATCGCAATGACTGTGTGTCACGTGATTAAACAAATAAGAAGTGAGATGAATGTTTGCTTAAAAATGTGAGGGAGCATTAGTTTCAACTGAGAATACCTTGGAAGAAGAGAGGAATTGCAACCAAAGAACCTCTACAACAGTGGAAGTTTATCACAACGAAGCTACACTGACGCGGCTATGCAGTTCGGCGACGGAGACGGCGGCGGAGTGAAAATGAAGGCACAGAGTTGGAAGAATATTTCTAGCTTTCTATGTGGAATAATATAAACTGCAGAATTTCCGTCACGCTGTTTTATATTTTGTTTATATCTTGTTTTAATATTGCTAATATATATGCTTTTTTTTTAACATTTATGATAATTGGTTTGTTTTAAATCGGTATGTTTAAAAAAATATTTTTCTCGTGAAAGATTTATTGAAAACTAAAAACAAACTACGGATAAATTTTTTTTTTTTTTAAATCATAAGTGTTTAATCATCGTTTTTCTTATTTAATATTTAACTTATCAATAATGATAATTTTGAAACACCGAACAGTATTAAAATTTTTAAAGATAAAACAAAAGTAAATATTTTGAATTTTATGAGAATGAAACTTATATTTTATTAATACTTTATTTAAGAATTATAAGATTAAAAATGTATATTAAATATACTAAATTTAAATAATAAAAGATTGAAAATTTACATGACAACAAGTTAAATAAAAATTTAGATAAAAATTATAATAATATCTTAAGATGAAAAAATATAATTTAAAAAAAAAGTAAGATTACTGGTTTAATCTCCATTGTTTTATTTTAAAAACATAAAACATTTATTTAACGCAATACAAGTATACAAGTTTCATATACTAGATTTGTGTCGTCTAGAATTTTAAGATTTAAAATATTTGAAATGCTTGAGGCTTGCTTTAGAAGATGGATTTGGTGAACAGTCTTATATGAATTTGAAAAGATTTGAAAATGAATTAATAATATTTTTTAATGAATTTGAAAGTAAAATTTATGAAAATTAGGTAGAATTTGACTGAAGTTACAGATAAAAAAATTGTTTAATTGGTATAAATTGAATATTACAAAAATATCCCTAGTTATAAAAATAATATAAAATGATAATTGTTAATGTTATATTTAATTGTAAAAATGTTTATAAAGAGAAAAAAACTTAAAAATAATTATTAAAATTTTAAATTTTAAAATGTAAAAAAATTATAATTTTGTAAATTGAAATATTTTTTTTAAATATAATATTTTTTTAATATAATTCACTACCAATTTTTATGAATTTTTTTGTTATTAAAGTGAAATTTAATATTTATGAAGAAACAAATAATTAACCAAAGTTGGAATATTACATTATGATATAAAATAAATGCAAACATAATAAGATACAGATATATTTGTGATATTTTATTATGAAGTTGCTTCGGTTAGGTATGTAACCAACCTATTTAAACGATATTGTATTGGCATCCCTATTAGACGTCTTGTATGTGATGGATGTGAAGATAGAAAGTCGAACTACCGTCTGAATAAGTTATATCATCTTGAATGTTATAGTTCTTAATAAGTTATTAATTTCTTCTTAAGTATGATTAGATAAATGATTATTGGTTGTTAATAGCGCATTTCGACACTTCATGGCTTGTAGTTGTTGTTGAATAATTGCACATAGTCTTCTTGTTTTAGTATTTCCCTTTTCCAATTCATCAATTATTTGATAATTCATCTAATTTGCAATTCATTAAGGTGACTTTAAGAATAAATAAAAGTATGACAAGTGCTATGAAAAAAAATAGAATTGAAATCTAGGTAATGTAAAAAAGCAAAGACATAAGTTAACGTAATATAATAAGTCATGTGATACAGTCATGGAATTGTAAAGAACTTAATCATCTAAATGGTGCAAATTAAGTTAACATTATGGTTGGGGTTAACAAATTATCGGTTCGTGTCGAGGGATAAGTTGACTAAGTTATCTTCAATACGCTGAACATGTCCCTACAGTTGTTCCATATTCTAATTATGTGTTGCAAGTCTTGTACCCCCTCCCACATTTGAGTCATCATATTAGGATTTAAAGGATAGAGAGAAGGCTGCACAAAGTCGTCATATTGAGGACTCTGATTTTGTGGTTGGTCTTTGTCTTCATCATCACCAACATTGTGTTGCCAAACACCATTGACCTTTACAATGTTCAACATCTTCAAAGAATTAATCGAAAAATGTTATTTGGTCCCAATCTGAGTGTTGGCATCTGCATCAAGACGCACTTCACTATATTGCATGATTTGGGCTATCAAAACATCGTATGGTAGGGATGTGTCACCGGCCTTGCATTTAAGCATATGTTGCATGATGTGATGAGGCCAATTGATAGCTATATTATTTTTAAACACCCATATAAAGATATCCTCGTGCAATAACTTTGCAAAATTTTCAGGTCGTGGAGTTATCATGTGCACAATAGCATAATGCAGAAGTCTATCATTAATATTCAAACAATCAACTGTTTTAACACGTTGACCCTGCATTTCTGGTTTAACTATAGTAGCCATTGCTGTAACACCCCAAAATTTTTGATGTCACGGTGTAAATTTTTCTTTCAAAACATATCCATAAAACCTTCATTTAAGATAAACAAATTGTGTTCGATTAAAATACGGAAGCAACTTAGAATATCACTTTTACATAAAACTTAGAATATCACTTTTACATAAAAATACCAAGTCTGAAAACTTTTAGAAATTAAGAAAAACTTAGAATATCACTTTTACATAAAAATACCAAGTCTGAAAACTTTTAGAAATTAAATAATAAATCCCCGAACTTTACGTCCCAACTCTCGTCAGCTACTCGGATCCAGTCTTATCTACAAGACCATCTACTCTCGTACAAGTATGATCATTGTAGGTGGAAACCACAACCACAATATTTCAGGGTGAGTAACCAGAAATATCATCAAATCAATCGATATAACATTTATATCATAGTTGTTAAGTCTTTATCATAATTCTATCACATCCAACAATCAACAGTAACACTACAACAACCATCATTACACTCTAACCCATTCCCTTAACTAGAATATGTATTTTCCCATTAACTCTACCTCACCTAATGAGCAAAGGAAACCCATTCCTATACCAAAATCCTTTATAACATCTTATCATCTTCTATACTTCCATACATATTCCATTTTACTAAAACAAAACGATTTGAGTGGTCCTCCACCACAACTTCGAACCTATCTCCCCTACTCCAAGATGTTCATCACGACACTTAACTCAACACTTCGTTGCAGCTAGCCTCGCCAGAAATATAATGCAAAATGATTCATATGTCATTAAAGTGTTCATACTTTTTTAATAACAAATCCAAATTTCAAACATACGTAATTAATACCTGAATTAGGTCATCCCAAACTTCATCATCTGCTTCAAATCTCATTGTTATGTCATTCGAAACAAATCCACTCAATGACGCAAAGACGTCATGTACCTGATGAGTGCATAATTATGCTTGAAAATTCAAAATTTTAGCAAGATTATTGTGCTTAAATGGTTGATTTAAAGAGAGTTAGTGACAATTGGATTCATCAGTTTTGATAATAAAAAGGGGTTAAAAAGTGATTTTTAGTTGCATAAATTATTCTTGCATATTCTTACGTTTATTTGTGTAGCTGAAATTAAAAGTTTATTGGTCCAAAGATGCAGAAATAAGGCCCAAAATTAAAATTAGTTTATTCAAGAAAAGAGGCTGAATGTACCCCTGTTTTTATAATGATTCAACCCTCTATAAGCCCAACAATAAGCCCAATAGAAACTTTATTCTACTACACCCTAAGTTTCCTATTCCTACCCTCCTAAATCAAACTCCACCAGATTTTGCCACGTGTCCTAATCCTCCACACACAGATTTGACCATTAAGAAGCTTCCACGTCACCATCTTCTTCAACTTTCAACTTAAACAGAAACTGAAACCCTAATTTCTCTCAAGCCACCTAACCATAGTGTCGCCATACTTAAACCCTCCAGTTGTCGCTACTAACACCATGCGTCGCCGCTACCATGAAACATCTGCACTGGACCACGCTACCGTGTCGCAAGCCGCCACAATCGCCATCACACCTGCAAACGCAACCCAGAAGACCATCACTAGGACGCCGCTGGGACCACCTTCACACGTCTCCATTCGAAAGCATCAAGCCACTTTGTCATCGTGTCGCATCCTCATCGTCATTTCCTTCGCCAAACCCTATCGTCACTACATCCTCCATGGGAGCCACTAGGGAGCTTGCAACTGCTGTCGTAGACACACCACGACCACCATCCACAATCGTCAACCCTGCTACCGTAAAGCTCACCATCATTGGAACACCATGAGTTCATCTCGCCACCAAACATCACTACCATCAACTCACCGCAGAGAATCACCCAAAGCAAAATCCATAGCCTCCATCATTAGATCGTGCAAGCAACCCCCAAATCGCCGTGAGTTCAGAGCACGAGCCTCCTCCTATGCGAGCCATCATCTTCTCCACCATGATACCAGCACAATAGCGCCACCAACAACCGCAACTACCCCGCTGCGATGCCAATCTCTTCTATCATAGAACGCAATCGCAACTTCTTCATCCAAATTGCGCTCAGAAATCTACCACCAGAGAAATCAATTCGCACAAATCTGAGTTGCATTCAGAATCCCTAAGGCAAATCACGACAATGGGAGACGAAACTTAATTGCGACCTTATCATCTTCGAACTTGTAAACCAGTGTAGAAGCAACTCCTCCATAGCTGAGAGTTGTGCAACCATTTTCCTTCGCCTAATGTCACGGCGCAAGGAGGTCGTGCCTCCATCCTCTCCACAACGGCGTAGGAGCAAGAAGGGACAAGTTTTTCCCCATTTCCCCTAATCTGAAACCCTAATTTTTGGTGGGGAAGGGGATGTCATGTGGCAAGCTCTCATTGGTCACGACCTATCTTCAGTCAAAGATGGTCAAATGGTCAATTCTAGTCAAAGCTAGTCAAACAAGGGCCTTTATGCAATTTTTTAAAGAAAGAAGGGGCTAAAGTGTAATTAAATGAATTTTTGGGCTTTTCTATAATTTTGGAAAATTAAGGAGGGACATGAATGGAATTTCAGATATGATTCAGTTGATATTTTAAAGATAATTAAGTTAATATTTATCAAATATTCTTTAAAACTGATTTAATCTAATGAATATTTGAAAGATATAAGATATAAGATAAAAGATCTTATCAACAGAATATTCA